CAGAAAATGGTGGGAATGAGACAGTTTCCCCTGAGTTTTTTTTAAGTGTTTTTAAAATCTCGGTGACTTCCTGGGCTCAGTTGGGGGAGCAAGATAAAAGGAAATTTGGGGGAAATTTCCCCATCTAGGTAGCCCCCGGCATGGGCATTGGTGCGGGGGTTTTTTTTATTGGCGAGATTAAAACCTTGGTTGGGAAAAAGTCGTTTTTTTTTTACTGTGTCAGTGGGATGCAGTGGGGGTTTCATGGGGTTTAGTTAGGGATTTCCCTGGAAGATTTCCCGGGGGGTAAACGCCCCCGCGGCCCGGTCGGGACCGGCCTCCTGGTGGTCGGCCTGATAAACCCAGGCTGTTGCTGCTGGCGCACGCAAAACCCAAAAACATACGAGGCCCACCCGGGGCTGCCGGAACTGACTTTTAGGTGCTTTTTCCGTGCCAGCTTGAAGCTGCCAGGGGTCTTTTTGGTAATCCCCCTTTTTTGGCTGGGAGGCATTTTGAACAGTTGGGGCCCCCTGACATTATTGATGGTTTTTTAACGTGCTGTGACCCCCCTGTTTTTTCATTGGGGGGGATGTTGATCGTCTGCCAAGTCTTTTGCTTTCGTAGTGGGTATTTTCGTTGCAGTTCGGTACTAGTCCCTCTGGGGTTTTTTCCAGGTGTAATAATCATGTATCTCTCCCCCCTGCTTTCCGGAAATCAGGTTTAGGAACCTCAAGCGCCCCCAATAATTGAGGTGTTTTATCTCCGTTATGGGGCCCCGTAAAAAGTTCCTGTACATTTTCAGGTCGGCAAATTTTACCCGCCTTTAAAGATGTGTTAGTGTGCAGCAATATTTCCCGCCTGAAGAACAAGTGACCTGAAGAGGTCATCAGGGGTTGGCCCCCTATTTTAAAAGGTTCTCATTTCCCTCCCGTCATTTTTTTTAGCGAGCGATTGATCAATGTTTGGTCCTTGAAGGGGGATCCTCCGACCTGTCACTCCCAGGTCTTTGGCGTTGGGTTTCGCTTATTTTGTGGCCAGAATTTTTTTTTTACTCTGATGAAGATTTTAATTTCCTCATGTTTACCATATCTGAGTAATTGAAAATTTTATCGTTTAACTTCATATTGTTTTCTGCAGCCCACTGAAAAATTTTTGGGTTTATGTCTGCTGGAGCTTTTTCAGTGTCGAATGGAAGGGCACGTCATGCAGATTCGGGTGTCATCTGCAAAGGAAACACGGTTTCTGGGCTGACATCCTTGCTATTTCGGGTATAAGGATGAGGAAAAATGGGGGCGAGTACTGTCCCTTTTGGAACAGAGCTTTTCACCGTAGCTCCTCGGACTTTACTCTGTTGACGACTAATCCTGTGTTTTTTAGGGAGGAAATTATAACATCGACCGACTTTTCCCGTTATTCCTTTAGCACGCATTTTGTGGCTATTCGCCATGGTCACACTTGTCGAAGGCTTTTGCAAAATCTGTATATATTACATTGCATTCTTTTTGTCTTCAGTGCATTAGGACCTTGTCGTAGTGGTCCAAAGTTGAGACGAGGAGCGACCTGTTCTAAACCCTGTTGCCCTGGGTTTTTGTAACTGATGGGTTTCTGATGCGTGGGTTTCTTGGCTTCTTAGGACCCTTTCAAAGATTTTATGATATGGATGTTAGTGCTATTGGTCTGTAGTTCTTTTCGTTGCTTTATGCCCCTTTGTGGGTGGGGCTTTTTCTGTTGTTTTTTTAATGTGGGACGACCCCCTGTCCCCGCTCCCCCTCCATAGGATGGAAAAAACCGTGATGGGGCTTTTTGCAGTTTTTGATGAAAAAAAAGAGTTCCTGAGTCTGGCCCCGGGGCAAGTGCATGGGGATGTCATTTATCGCCGCGAAGTCTTTGGCGTCAGGATAACATGGATAGGCTTGTGTTAATCAAATTTTTTGGGTCTCTCATAAAAATTCATTTTGACTTCGACTCTCATTGGTTTGCGGCTTGCTAAAAATGAGTATATGGGACTTAAGCTCACTCATTTCCTTGTTGTCATCGGTGGACCCCTCTTGTTTTTAAATGGGGCCCCCAAACTGGGCGTTGTTTTTCGATTTTGATTTGGCATAGGAGAAGAAAAACTTTGGGTTTCTTTCGATTTCATTTATGGGGTTTTATTCTTCCCCCGAAATTCCGACCCAAAGGATTCTTTTAGCTTAAGTTCGATGTTTGTATTTTTCGACCAGTGTCTCCCTACGCATTTCAATATATTGACTCTTTTAGCCCCTCTGTTATTCTTTTCCGTCCCTGTAAAGGGAGCGCCTGTCTCTTTCTGTTTTACATCTACTCCCCCTTTTTCTTAGGGAAAAAAGCCTGTGCATACATCGAGTGTACCCGGTTAATCTGTTCTAGGCTAAGTTGGGGGCTGTGTTGTTAGTATATCTTCCCAGCTTTTACGGTTAGGACTTGGTTTACTTGGTCCCACTTTATGTTTTTGTTATTGAAGTTGAATTTGGTGAATGCTCCCTCGTGACTAATCTCATTATGTCGGTCTGGGGCTCCGCGCATACATGACTGAACCTCAATTATGTTGTGATCTGAGTATATTGTTTTTGATATGGTGATATTTCTTATCAGATCATCATTGTTAGTGAAGATGAGGTCTAGTGTATTCTCCAGTCTAGTAGGCTCTATTATTTGCTGGTTTAAATTGAATTTTGTGCAGAGATTTAAAAGCTCGCGTGAGTGTGAGTTTTCATCAGAGCTGCCTCCTGGTGTTATTACTGCAACAATATTATTTGCTATATTCCTCCATTTTAGGTGCCTTAAGTTGAAATCCCCCAGGAGCAAGATGTTGGGTGCAGGAGCTGGAAGGTTTTCCAGACAGTGGTCAATTTTTAACAGCTGTTCCTGGAATTGCTGGGATGTTGCATCCGGAGGCTTGTAGACTATCACAATGACTAGGTTTTGGTTCTCGACCTTTACTGCTAAAACTTCCACTACATCATTTGAGGCATTTAGCAGTTCTGTGCAAACAAGTGACTCTGCAATGTGACTCTGCAATATTCTTGTTTTTTTCAGTTTTTGGGTCCCTAGAATCTGAGAGAGTGTTTTCCAGGTCTTTTTTATATCTCCTCTTGTGTCAGTGAATCTACTGGAGTAGTATAGTTGTTTGGCTTTCTTTATTACTTTGGTGAGGACTGATGAATAGTGTTTAAGAATATCTTTGTGTATTAAGCCCTGTCTATATTGCTTTTCATATTGGTGTTTCTTATCAATGGATTTCAGAATGGTGCTGGTTAGCCATGGGCAACCGAGGCGTTTGTTTGTGATCTGTTTCGTTTTTATAGGACAATGTTTGTTGAATAGTCTAAGTAATTTGTTAAGAAAAATGTCTGTCCAGTCGTCAATACCATTGGCCTTGGAGAATTCTGTAGGCCAGTCAACAGTCTCTAGGTCAGCTGTGAACTTCCTTATTGAGGCCTCATCATGGAGTCTAAATGAAACTTTGTTGTATTCAAGTGGTGGTTTACTAATGTTTGTCAAGAGGAAGGTAGGGTAGTGGTCTGTAGTGCTATCTGTGATTATCCCTGATTTAAGGGGGGCTAGTATATTGGTCCATATGTGGTCTATTATGTTTGCACTCGTTTCAGTGAGCCTGGTTGATTTAGTTATTGTTGGTATGAGAAGTGTGTTGTTCATATTGTTGATGAAATCAGTTACAGGCTGATCATCTAGTAGGCCAAGGTTGATATTGAAGTCTCCAGCTAAGAGAAGGTGGTGCTTATTCATTTGTCTGTTTGTTATTAGTGCCTTTAGTTTCTCACTGAAATTTGGGATGTTTGTGTGAGGTATGCGGTAAATGGAACCGATTGTTATAGGCGTCTTAAGTTTTTTTACAGTAAAATTAGCAAAAATGTATTCTCCATATTCATCACTAAAGCAAGTGGTGCTAATACAAGATAATTGGTTAGAGTAATAGATTGCAATACCACCCCCAACTTGGTATGGTCTGCAGTTGTGGATTGCTGTGTATCCTGGTAGAGGGTAGATATCTATTATGTCCTGCTTAAGCCAGGTCTCAGTAAGAATAATGCAGGAGAAGGGTGTCTTTAGCGACTCAAGGAGTGCCAGGAGGTCATCATAGTGTTTGCTTAAGGACCTGATGTCAGTGAGCTGAGGTACGATAACAGCTCTTAGTCAGTGAGCTGAGATAGGATAACAGCTCCTGATGTAGGATAACAGCTCTTAATGAGCCGAGGTACGACAACAGTTATTAGACAGTGAGCTGAGGTAGGATAACAGCTACTAGTCAGTGAGCTGAGGTAGGTTACCAGCTACTAGGCAGAGACTTGAGGTTGGATAACAGCTACTAGCCAGAGAGCTGAGGTAGGACAACAGCTCCTGGTCAGTGAGCTGAGGTAGGATAACAAATCCTGGCCAGTGAGCTAAGGTAGGATAACAGCTTCTGGCCAGTGAGCTGTGGTAGGATAACAGCTCCTGGTCAGTGAGCTGAGGTAGGATAACAGCTTCTGGCCAGTGAGCTGAGGTAGGATAACAGGTCTTAGTCAGTGAGCTGAGGTAGGATAACAACTCCTGGTCAGTGAGCTGAGGTAGGATAACAGCTTCTGGTCAGTGAGCTGTGGTAGGATAACAGCTTCTGGCCAGTGAGCTGTGGTAGGATAACAGCTCCTGGTCATTGAGCTGAGGTAGGATAACAGCTTCTGGCCAGTGAGCTGAGGTAGGATAACAGGTCTTAGTCAGTGAGCTGAGGTAGGATAACAACTCCTGGTCAGTGAGCTGAGGTAGGATAACAGCTTCTGGCCAGTGAGATAAGGTAGGATAACAGGTCTTAGTCAGTGAGCTGAGGTAGGATAACAACTCCTGGTCAGTGAGCTGAGGTAGGAAAACAGCTTCTGGTCAGTGAGCTGTGGTAGGAAAACAGCTTCTGGCCAGTGAGCTGAGGTAGGAAAACAGCTTCTGGCCAGTGAGCTGAGGTAGGATAACAAAATATAATAACATTGAGTCTTCATCGTGTATTTCAGGTCACCGGAGGTCGACCAGGTCACCCAAGTCACCCAAATCACCCAGGTCACCCAAGAGTGTGAAGAGCAGCTCCCCCATGAGTCCCCGAGGTGGTCACTGCCACTGTCACTGTACAGCACTGCCCAGACAGGTAGGTCAACAATAGTGACTGCTAAACAACACACACACACACGCACACACACACACACTAAGATCAAATGATAGGTCCGAAGACAATGAAGGTATGCTATATGCAGAGATTCTAACAGCCAACTGCAGGAGCAAGGGACAGCTGGTCATGAAAGACAGTTCACTGAGAACAGAAGTTTCAGATATGACAGGGACTGAAGGCAAGAACATGTCAATGGAAGGAAATAAAATGCCTCAGAGGAAGCAGATGGAGACTCAGTGGGAGGAGGAAAGGGCGAGGTCAGTTTTTCTGTACGGGCTCCAAGAAGCCAAGGGGGACAACTTTGAAGAAATAAAACAGGAGGAGAAAAAAATGATTGAAGGCATCATGAAAACAATAGGTGAGGGCGATATGACCCAGGTGACAAATTATCAGAGAATTGGGTGGTTTGCGAGTGGAAGGATACGGCCTGTCAAAGTAATTTTCAAGGAAGAATTAGTTCGAACCAGGATTCTGCAAGAGAAAGCAAGACTGAGGGACAAACAGGGGTACCAGAGAGTATACCGACAGAACACAAGAAGAAAGGACTACACTGAAAGAGAGGGTACAGAGACACAAGGAGGAAAGAGAGGCAATGACGAAGATGAGCAGGACCCAGACACAGGAGGAAGGGCAAACACACCCCACAGAATCTCCCACCAAAAGACTCCAACCGCGACATTCCCAACGCAACTGAGCAACCTATACTACAACCCACTCACTGTTCCCTCTGCCATCAACCCCCATATCACAAACCTCACCCCAACAGCTGTCCCTTATGGGCATTCTGACCCCACCCCCATCATCACAAACCCCACCTACACCACAGCCCCATATAGGCCCCCACCAAGGCTCTCACTCCCCCAACCCCAATATTCTTGCATGACCACAATGATAGGAAAGAAACTGAAAATTTGGTACACAAACGCGGATGGAATAACGAATAAACATGAGGAGTGGAACGAAAGAATCAGTGAAAAATCCCCAGACATCATAGCAGTCACAGAAACAAAACTCGCTGAGACAATAACAGACACAATCTTCCCAACGGGATATCAGATCCTGAGGAAAGATAGAAGGAGTAGAGGGGGAGGAGGGGTTGCACTGCTCATAAAACACCGATGGGGATTTGAGGAAATGGAAGGCATGGACATGATTGGAGAAAGAGACTACATTGTAGGCGCAATTCAGTCCGGAGAACATAAAGTAGTCATTGGAGTGATGTATAACCCACCACAGAACTGCAGGAGGCCAAGAGAGGAGTACGAAGAAAACAACAGGGTGATGGTGGACACACTGGCTGAGGTGGCAAGAAGAGCTCACTCGAGCAGAGCAAAGTTACTGGTAATGGGCGATTTCAACCACAGGGAGATCGACTGGGAAAACCTGGAGCCACATGGGGGTCCCGAAACATGGAGAGCCAAGATGATGGATGTGGTACTTGAAAACCTCATGCATCAACATGTCAGGGACACAACCAGAGAGAGAGGGGAGGATGAGCCAGCAAGACTGGATCTTGTGTTCACCCTGAGCAGTTCAGACATTGAGGACATCACTTACGAGAGGCCCCTTGGAGCTAGCGATCACGTGGTTCTGAGTTTTGATTATATAGTAGAGTTACAAGTGGAGAAGGTAACAGGAACTGAAGGGGACAGGCCAAACTATAAAAGGGGGGACTACACAGGTATGAGAAACTTCCTGCAGGAGGTTCAGTGGGACAGAGAAATGGTAGGAAAATCAGTAAACGAGATGATGGAATATGTGGCAACAAAGTGCAAGGAGGCAGAGGAAAGGTTTGTTAGCAAGGGAAACAGAAATAATAGGAAGACCAAAACGAGTCCTTGGTTTACCCGAAGGTGTAGGGAGGCAAAAACTAAGTGCAACGGAGAATGGAAAAGGTACAGGAGGCATAGGACCCAGGAAAACAAGGAGATTAGTAGAAGAGCCAGAAACGAGTATGCACAGATAAGGAGGGAGGCCCAGCTACAGTATGAAAACGACATAGCATCGAAAGTCAAATATGACCCGAAACTGCTGTATAGCCACATTAGGAGGAAGACAACAGTCAAGGACCAGGTGATAAGGCTGAGGAAAGAAGGTGGAGAACTCACAAGAAACGATCAAGAGGTATGCGAGGAGCTGAACACTAGATTTAAGGAAGTATTTACAGTAGAGACAGGAAGGACTCTGGGGGGACAGACCAGATGGGGATACCAGCAAGGAATACACCAACAAGTGTTGGACGACATACATACAGATGAGGAGGAGGTGAAGAAACTGCTAAGGGACATCGATACCTCAAAGGCAATGGGACCAGACAACATCTCCCCATGGGTCCTTAGAGAGGGAGCGGATATGTTGTGCGTGCCACTTACCACAATCTTCAACACGTCCCTGGAAACTGGGCAACTACCTGAGGTATGGAAGACGGCAAATGTAGTTCCCATTTTTAAAAAAGGAGGCAGAAAAGAGGCACTAAACTATAGACCAGTGTCATTGACATGTATAGTATGCAAAGTTATGGAGAAGATTATCAGGAGGAGAGTGGTGGAGCACATGGAACGGAACAATAGTATAAATGCCAACCAGCAAGGATTCATGGAAGGCAAATCCTGCGTCACAAACCTTCTGGAGTTTTATGATAAAATAACAGAAGTAAGACACGAGAGAGAGGGGTGGGTTGATTGCATCTTCTTGGACTGCAAGAAGGCCTCTGACACAGTTCCTCACAAGAGATTAGTGCAGAAGCTAAAGCATCAGGCGCATATAACAGAAAGGGCACTGCAATGGATCAGAGAATACCTGACAGGGAGGCAACAACGAGTCATGGTATGTAATGATGAATCACAGTGGGCACCTGTGACAAGCGGTGTCCCACAGGGGTCAGTCCTAGGACCAGTGCTATTTTTGGTATATGTGAACGACATGATGGAAGGGTTAGACTCAGAAGTGTCCCTGTTTGCAGATTATGTGAAGTTAATGAGGAGAATTAAATCTGATGAGGACCAGGCAGGACTTCAAAGAGACCTGGACAGACTGGACACCTGGTCCAGCAAATGGCTTCTCTAATTTAATCCTGCCAAATGCAAAGTCATGAAGATAGGGGAAGGGCACAGAAGACCACAGACAGAGTATAGGCTAGGTGGCCAAAGACTGCAAACCTCACTCAAGGAGAAAGATCTTGGGGTGAGTATAACACCGAGCATGTCTCCGGAAGCACACATCAATCAGATAACTGCTGCAGCATATGGGCGCCTGGCAAACCTGAGAACAGCATTCCGATACCTTAGTAAGGAATCTTTCAAGACACTGTACACCGTGTATGTCAGGCCCATACTGGAGTATGCAGCACCTGTTTGGAACCCACACTTGATAAAGCACGTCAAGAAACTAGAGAAAGTACAAAGGTTTGCGACAAGGTTAGTTCCAGAGCTAAGGGGAATGTCCAAGAAGAAAGATTAAGGGAAATCGGCCTGACGACACTGGAGGACAGGAGAGTCAGGGGAGACATGAGTAGTGATGATTTCTACAGAGTGTCTTCTTCTACAGAGCAGTCCATTTCCTGAGTGGTCCCTTCTACAGAGTGGTCCCTTCTACAGAGCGGTCCCTTCTACAGAGCGGTCCCTCCTGGAAAGGCCTTCTACAGAGTGGCTCATTCCTGAGCAGCTCCCTTTCACACCTATATGCTAATGACCTTGACCTCGCCCTCGAGACCACCTCACCCTCAACTCCCCACCCACGCCCCCCACCCGCGCCCCCCACCCACCCCCGCCCTCGCGCCGACCCACCCGCCCGCCGACCCACCCGCCCGCCGACCCACCCGCCCGCCGCGCCCCCCCACCCGCCCCCGACCCCCGCGCCCGCCGCGCCCTCGCGCCGCCCGCGCCCCTCGCGCCCGTCCGTCGCGCCCGCCCGCGCCTTCTGCTGCGCCTTCTGCAGTGTCGTCCGGATCGCCCCCGCTCCCCGAATTTTTTCCGATTTTTTTGATTTTTTTTTTAATTTCATTTTCTTGTGCTCTCCATCTCCTCGGATCAAATTTTTGAGGTCCCCCCTCCCACTTTCACCCCCATCCCAATTTTTTTCGAATTTCATTTTCTTATGATCTCCTCAGATCAAGTTTTTTTTGGATTCCCCCCCTCTGGGGGTAAGCATTCAAAATGGTCTCCCACTTGCATCCCAAATTTTTTTTTTCTCGATAATACAAAGACTCCAATTCCTCGGATCAAATTTTTCTCGAAAACAAAGTCTCCATCTCCTTGAATCAAGGTTTTCTCGATAATACAGAGACTCCAATTCCTCGGATCAAATTTTGGATTCCCCCCTATGGGGTTTCGAAATTCTTATGATCTCCTTGCATCAAGTTTTTCTCCTCCATCTCCTCGGATCAAGGTTTTTTTTGGATTCCCCCCTCTGGGGGTAAGCATTCAAAATGGACTCCTATGGGACATGGTACTTTCTCTTACTACAGGTCTAAATAAGTGTGACGTCACCCCACCTGTGTTTACTCGGCGGTCAGTGACGTCACGTGATGACCTCACACATACAAGCTGAATCTTGTCGACTTCCCCCTATGTCAGTGACGTCACGTGATGACCCCGCACACACAGGCTGAATCTTGTCGAGCAGACATTTACTTAAAATGCAGGATAACACTATTTATTATACAACCAATGCATTTCATATACAACATAGGGAAAACATTTTCACTCTTAACCCAGGATAACCCAATAATTCCACATTTTTTTCGATAATACCCACAACAATTCACAATTTCTTTACAAAAGATTCACTCTCCTCAAGTCTAGATAATTTTCTCGTTTTAACTATTTCATCAGAAAAAGTCCAGCGAATCTTAATAACTGACGGAACTCAGATAACATCTCAGGTCACTCCCCCACGAAGTAACCTTCTCTCCTTACCCCTTCTCCCCGCCCTCCCAAACCCTCACACTCCCACCAACATCTCACAATTTTCACTCATAA